CCAGCCAGCTGGCCATGGCGCTCAGCCAGGGTGCACCAAGCTCCACATGGGCAGGTGCAGAGGAGAAGCCGCCGATCAGCTGGAGTGCGGGGCAGCCTCTTTCAGCTGAAAGCCACAGTCAGCTGGTTGGGGTGTTTCAGCCCTCCCGACCTCCCAGCTCCCACCATTCCTCGCAGCTACTCACCTGTGTTGTTGCTCGGTGAGTAGCTGCTCCTCAAATGAGGAAATCTCATGTAAATGTCCTGCACAGGCGCGCAGTTCAGAGGGGGCTCAAGAGCTACTCTTAGAGCCCCTGAGATCTACCGGTAGCTGGCGATCTACTGGTTGGTGACCACGGCCTTAGAGACTAACTGAAAGGAAAGTTCATGGTCCTATATGGGTAAATCCACTTCACTGTTCTGTCTTTCTGTTCGTTTTTGTAGCTGGGCAAAACCCCAAGTAATTAATTACTGACATGCTTTCCATTATGCAAACTAGCTCTAGCTGTATGTGCTCTTCATCTCTTATTGTGTGCAGCAGGGGCAAACAATTTAAGCAATGGGCTTCAGTTGTAGCAAGGGAGGTTTTAGGTTGTCCATTAAGAAAATCTTCCTGTCGGGGTGGGTAAGCACTGAAATAAATTGCGTAGGGAGATTGTGTAATCTCCACCACTGGCAATATTTAAGAGCAGTTTGGATAAATATCTATCAGGGAGGGTGCTTGGTGCTTCCGTGAGGGCAGGGGGCTGGACTTGATGATCTCTTGGGGTCCCTTCCAGTTCTAGTGTTCTATGATTCTGTGGCTTTTTTTTTAAAGCCATTTGTTTCTCTTATTGCTTTATGTCTGAACATACAAGAGCTTTCATTATCTCACATGATGCATTTCAGGTAGCTTAAGCACTCCGAGAAAACGAAGTGTAGGAATGCTGGATTTAGGCGGTGGATCAACACAAATGACGTTTCTTCCCATCTCTGAGGTAATCTGAAACCACACACTGCAGGGAAAGATTGGTTTCAATGAACGGGCATTCTGCTTTTCTAGCAAAAGGATTGGGGCGTTTTGTGCTATGTGAAGGCTTGCTTCCTATTTGTCTCTTCACAGATCTGGCCACTTCCTCCTCGTCGCTAGAGTACAGCCAAGAATACACAAGGCTCACCAGAGCTGTGTTCTGGTTAGGAAAAGCAGAGACTGTCTTATAGGTTGAATCTCTCTAGTCCAGCACTCTATGGCCTGGCAACATCCATGGCCTGGCATGTTTGTAGTTAGCCAGATGCCCACAAAACATGAACATAAGAATGGCCAGACTGGGTCCGTCTAGCCCACTATCGTGTCTGCAGACAGTGGCCGTTGCCAGATGCCCCAGGGGAGGGAATGCAACAGGCAATCCTCACATGATTCCTCCCCTGTCATCCATTTCCAGACAGAGGCTAGGGGCCCCATTCCTACTCATCCTGGCCAATAGCCATTGATGGACATAACCTCCATTAATCTGTCTAGCTCTTTTTTGAACCCTATTAAAGTCCTAGTCTTCACCACCTCCTCTGGCAAGGAGTTCCACAGGTTGACTGTGCGCTGAGTGAAGAAAAACTTCCTTTTGTTTGTTTTAAACCTACTGCCTATGAATTTCGTTTGGTGACCCCTAGTTCTTATATTGTGGGAATAAGTAAATAACTTTTCTTTATTCACTTTTTCTACACCAGTCATGATTTTATAGACCTCTATGATGGACCAGGCCAGGTCTGGGCACAGCTGAAGGCATCTGCTCAGGGTGAATTGCTCAGACTCAGGGCTCCTTATAGCCCCTGACTGGAGACCTTTCCAAACAGGTCACCAACCGGTCATATTGAGCAAAACCCCATAGACATTCCAGCTCTCCCTGTGCCACAATCAGCCCCGGGCCTGCACACAGGTGAGGGGTTTCAGAACCCAATCTCTCCTACCCCAAATGGGTCTTTCTGGTCCCAAGAACCAGCCACAGCACCCAATCAATTTACACTCTGGATCTTACCCACAAGATCATGCTGGGCCAGTCCTTTAGAATCTAAAATCTAAAGGTTTATTAATAAAAGAAAGAAAAGCAAGAGAGTAAGGTTGTTAAGAAGAATACATTACATGCATTGACTCACAAAGTTCTCGACGCAGGCTCTCAGCAGAGATGTTACAAACTGCTATCTTAAAAGTCTCTGGTGCACATCCTATGTGGTGGGCCAGCGAGTCTTCCCGGCTCTGTCCCTCCCAAGGCTGCATCTGGAATCAGTAGCAGAATTGAAGGCCAGATGGAGTCCGCCTCGTGGCATTTTATACCCATTCCTGGTATCTTCCAAGCTGGAGCAAGTCACATGGTGCAGTGACATATCCCTGTGTCCCAAGTCAGTGGTCATGATACTGGCTTGTTTGCAGGTCCCAGACACATTCCTCGGGTGTTTGCTGGCCTCTGAGAGCCTTGTCCCTGGAGCCTTGCTAATTACCATAGTCACTGACTGACCATTCCTGGCCCATTGCTCTGTCTCAGACAGAGAAACTTCCAGCCTCAATACAGAATCCATATTTATAATTCCACATACAGATATCACATGAGTACATGAGTAGCATATATAGAATCAGTAGAACATAAGTTTTCATTTGACACCTCACATGGCCTCCTTTGTATGGACTGTGGGGCAAACACCCCCCCTTGGGTGCAGCAGTGATCTGGCTGCTCCCCTTAAAATCCAGTAATGTGACAACCTCTAACCTATTCCCCCCTTACTCTCCTCTTTTCTAAGCTGAAAAGTCCAAGTCTCTTTAATCTCTCCTCAGATGGGATCTGTTCCAAACCCCTCACCATTTTTGTTGCCCTTTTCTGAACCTTTTCCAATGCCAATAGATCTTTTTTGAGATGAGGCAACCACATCTGTACTCAGTATTCAAGATGTGGGCATATCACGGTTTTATATAGAGGCAATACGATATTCTCTGCCTTATTCTCTCTCCCTTTTTTAACGACTCCCAACATTCTATTTGCTTTTTTGACGGCCGCTGAACACTGAGTGGATGTTTTCAGAGAACTATCCGCAGTGACTCCAAGATCTCTCTCTTGAGTAATTGTTGCTAAATTAGTCTCCATCATATTGTATGTATGTAACATGGGAGTGGCCAAGTTTCCTAAGGTCCCATAAAGTCTGTTTACAGCCCCCAGTCCTGGCTCTCAGTGTTCTGTGCTTTGTTAGCTCTCAGAGCCCAGGAAGCAGCGGGAGTGTTGGTGATGCTGCTAGACAATATTGACCTCCTGTGGTCCAGCAAATTCTCTGGTTTGGCGCCGGTCTGGTCCTAAGAGTGCTGGACTAGAGAGGTTCAGCTTTTGTTTTCCATTTGTGTCCATAAAAATGTACTCTGCATCTCGGCAGGATAGAGCTTTCCTCCAGAGGAGTTCAGAACTGGAAGAAGGGAGCTGAGAGGTGTATTAGTGGAAAGACGTGCTCTGTTTCAAGTCCTCCTTGCATTGTTTGTGTCAGTAATAATATTTGAACTGCTGTGACTCTGTAACGTTGGGTCACTATTTACCTCCTATTCTTATGTTCTGGTCACCTCTAATGGATGCAGAGCCAGTCTGAGACTAGTCTGTAAATAACGGATTTCCGCATGTTGCGAACGGGGCTGTGCATGAGATAACCCGTTAGTGCGCTCACCTACTGTATTCTTTCTCTCTGCTGTTTCTGGAAAGTTCCAAAAAAACTCACAATGATTTCTTTCTTTGTTTCTCCTTATAGACAACGCTCCAGAAATCACCCGCTGGCCATATCACGTCCTTTCAGATGTTTAACACCACGTATAAGCTCTATTCATACAGGTTAGTTGTGGGGAAAAGAGCAGACGGTAAAGGTGAAAGCCCGTTATTGGATGAATGAGACTTAAGCACATGCTTGACTTGAAGCATTTAAGTTCTCTGCGGAATTGGGGAATCTCCCGAGTCACAGTGTTTACCTCAAATAAAAAAACTGGCGAGACTGACTGGCCAGATTGCTGCTCCTGATGGCCGCACAAGCTTATTCTTCCCCTCAGTGGGAGGGGCCACGCTGAGGAGTTGTGCTGCATTACTGCATGCTCTCCTCTGTCTGCAGCCCCCAGAACCCACCTCAATGTGTCCCTTGTCAGGCTGTGCAGTGCTGGCATGTAGGGGTGTGCAGTTGGGTGCCTGAAACCCTTAGGCTTGCAGCTGTGATCTTCAAATAGGCCTGCGCTCACCACCGTGCCCGTTCTGTGGCCGGAGGAGGCGCTGTGGCGATTCCGTGGGTACTGCGAGAGCGCCACAGAACGTCAGGGGTCGGGGTCGGGGTTGGCCCCTTGCTGCTGGACTGCAAGGGGTGGAGGGAGTGTCACGTCTCGGTGGCCCCTCCGACTTGGGCTCGGTGGGATGTGTGTGGAGCGCTGTGACTCGGGCTGGAGGGAGAGCTGAGGCAATGCAGAGCTGTTGGGAGACGGGGGAGGAGGAGCTTTAAGGGAGATGGAGGGTGGCCACACAAAGCCGTCTCCTGGCCAGGCCTGATCTAGCTGCAGTCTGAGCAAGCAGGATTTCACTCCGCCCGC